CATGGGAGATTGGAGGGTGTGGGCAGTGCACTGCCAACAGGCTGCCTACTACAGTTGTGGGGATTATATAGGGCACGTACACCACCACAGAGGCAGAGGCAGAGGCAGAAAGCAAGCTGTCGGAGTCCAGCTGCATAGCTCAGCTGGTCATGGGGACGAAAGTAAGAGCTGAATCATGATCAGACAGTAACACTGGAGGAGGGGTGGAGAATGGGGTGTGAAGGATCCTGACTTGCCACCTTCCCTTTCTTTCAACCTTACCCTCAAATTTTACTCATCATAAACTTTCTTTGTGAAAGCAGCAGGTAGATCTCCATGCTAGGAGGAAGTGCAACATGTCTGCCCCGCTGGTTCAAAGGGCAGCAATGTTCAGGCACTTCGAGGTAAGTTGGAGTGTCCGTGTTCCATCTTGCTGCAGCCCTGGTAAACCGTGGAGGTGGAAATCTCACGGGTACCTGCTGAAAGGCTTCCTGACAGGCCACTGGGGCCAGTTCTGCTGGTTCCTCTGGGCCAAGCAGCTTCCTCAAGGTGCAGGGAGAAGCCCCCTCCCTGCCTGTGGCCGACTTCACTGGCTCTTGGTTGCCTGCCATTTGGACTCTGTCTTCTCGCTCTTGGATGCTAAACTGCCAGTATTCCGCTCAAGATCCGCTGTGGTTCTTGTTCTCCCTGGGGACACACCTGTAGTGTGTGCCAGTTACTGAACCTCTGCTCGCCAAGCTTTGTCCTCCCTAACGTGCCATATCCCTTTCCTCTTTATTGCCAGTGTTGTTTACTTGAGAGATTTCTTTTAGCCAATTCGTATTTTGAACTTTAACACATGTATAAAGGAAGCTTTCGTCACTATCATATGTGGAAAGTCTGAATTACCTGCCATATATAGGTGTTAACTGTAAAAAAAAAAAAAAAGAAAAAGAAAGAAAGAAAGAAAAATTCTTAGACACTGGTGGTCTCTAACCTGACGTAGCAGAGTGATTCGCAAAAGGCTGCTTCTGCTTTTGTTGTCCCCGGGGGCATTCTTATTACAATTCCCAATTCTTTTTCTGTTTGTTTTGTTTTGAACTAAGAGGCTACAGTGCAGTTCTGTCACAGGCTGTGTGTTGAAGCTAGGCAAGCTGCACGTACCTCTCCCCTTCCTTCCTACCCACCCCAACCCCTCTTAACCACCAGAGGTGTGCAATCCATAGTTCAGAAAACACAGACTTGACTTTCTTCTTCCCAGAGACCCACCTCAAATTCCTCTCCAAGAAACCAATACAGATCTTAGTGATCACCTCAACTGTATTCATAAGGTTACCATGTCTAATTATTCAAATGTTGCTGTGTGACACTTCATTAGGGACAAAGACCATGCTTTATATGAGATTTTCCCACATTTGGTATGCTACCTGGCAAACAGTAGGCATTCAGTGAATATTTGTGGTTTAATGAGCAGCAAGGGTCAGCCTTGGCTTAAAGTGTCAAGCAAAATTTGACTTAGGTTCCTTTCCTACCTTTGGCTGCTTCAGTTGCAGAAGGGCCATGGACTATGGTCTTCCTCTGAGTCATTTTCTTTTTTCTCAGTAAGTTCCATGTGCTTCCTGATTTTTCTCAATCTCCCCAAATCCCACTTTGTGTGCTGTGTCTCATTATCTTGTTGACTAATTAGCTAAGATATTTTGTGTTTGCTGCTAGATTTTACATTGCCTGTGTCTCTTTTTTTTTTTGTTATCTGTCACACTGAAGACAGACCATGTATAGATAGTAGATGCTCATTAGATATTTGTTGCGCAAATAAATGAATACATGTTTTATTGTTTGTGTCTTGGAGTGTCCCTATTATATCTCCAGGAAAAAATAAGAAATCCCCAAACTAATTAATATAATATTAGTCAAGGGGATTTTCTAAGTTTGTTAACAAGTACGGAAAAGCTTTGTAGTTTTGACTCAGCATATAAAAATGAAATCTTCCTTCTGCCTTTCCTCCCTCTGTTGGTCCACTTGGCCAATTTAGATGTTCCTTCCAAGGAGCAATTTAAGTCTCTTTAACTTCACGCAGAGGTGATGGTTCCTTCTCTACCCTAAGCAAGCGTTGGTGGTATAGTGGTGAGCATAGTTGCCTTCCAAGTATATACACATACTTCTAGTTAGAAGCAACCACATTAAATTATTTGGATGATAAATTTATGTGGATAATAAATTTGGATGATACATTTCATCCAAACCTGAACATAGTAAGAATGAAAGAGGGCACAAGTAACTATTAAGCCAGGACAAGAGGTGTCCTTGACAAACCAGGAAGTATAGTCATACTACTTAGAGAGCTGTTGTTTACTAATTGTCTGTCTCTTTTCATTGAGTTGTAAAGGTATTCTAGATCTGGGCCTTATGTCTCTTAGCTTCCTTTGTTGCCTAGAACTGTGCCTGGCACATGGTGGCAGTAGAAGGAATGTTAGTGCTGTTTTTACAATGTTGATTTAATTGCACATAATACTATCTTGATGTAGAACTCAAACAATCCCATTTAGGGCCATTATGAGCCATTTTCTCAGTATTACAAATATAGGGCAATGAGCTTAATTATATGCTTGTGTAATGATAATAGCTAGGGTTTACCAGCACTGAGCATGCCCCAGTCCCAGGGCTAAGAATTTTGCTTGAGTTCTCTCATTGGTTTCTCCCAACAATACATGGAGGTAAGTAATACTATGGTCCCATTAAATTAGAAGAAAAGACAGGTTTAGAAAGATTAAGAACCTTCGTCAGGGTTACCCAGGTAATCAGTCGTTAGTTTGAACTCCAGTCTCTGTCTCTATACTCCATCTCCTTTACATGTGATAAATAGCTGGTGTCAAATTTTGGAAGGTAGTTAAAAAAATAGTATACTTCTAGGGAAAAAGCCATTTGCTGTAAAATTTTTCAAGGAAAATTTATTTACCTAAGAGATTGCATAATCAGGCCATTGTGGCAGTTCTGTGAGCTCGTGAGCAGTGAAGGCAGTTGGTTAGACCCGCACATTGCTAGCTGTTGTCCTTGGTGTTAATGTTCCCATTTGTTGTGGCACAAATATACCATGTTAATTTTGTTGCGATTATTTTCTTCTTTATGGGTAAGTGTGCAAGACAGTTTCTTTTGTATTATAACTGTTACTTAATTTTAGCAGTATATCAATGAATTATGAATAGTGTCTCTTTTTTACTCTTTTTGGAATAAGTTTTTACTTGGGAACAATTTTAAGGACAGTGCAGACATATCATAATAGTGACTCCAGAAAAATTATTATTTGGTATTATTGTAATTACAAACCATATTTTGACATTGATAAAATACATTGTCAATTTTTTTTAAACAAAAGCAGCATATTGAAATTTCTAAAGAAATAATCCAACTTGTAAGGTATCATCTGTAGCCTTAAATAGTTTTAAATGATAAAGGATAAATTAAGTATGTAAAGAGACTATGCTATACGTATAATACTGAGCAAATAATTATATGCACAGACTTTTATACAAAAGGTGTCCTTTGATTGAATGGACTTGTATTCTTAATTGACTTTTTTTCTACTGACAAGAGGGATGTATGAATAGCTATAGCAACCGAAATTAGATATTATTAAGGTATTGAATCACATATATGATGTGTTATAAACAAAACATGAAAAATCTGAAAATGTTTATATAATGAATATTAACCTTTATGAATAAAGATAGGAAATGTTATTACTTGAGGCATTCACACAAGATGACTACATTTGTGATTCAAAGAAGGATTACAACCAACAGGCTTGCTTGACATTTTGGAGGTGAAGAGGAGGGAATGAGACGATCCAAGGATGACTCCAGAGTTTCTGACCTGACTACCTAGGACTGTGGCATGATCTTGAGTTGCTTTTTGAGCAAGGTAGAACTCTAACTCAGGGAAAAGAAAACTAATCTTGCACTAATATAATCAATCAAGATGGGTAAGACATACTATATTATATTCCAAGTATTACAGGTTTTGGTGGAATGTTGGCCGCTCAACAAGAGCATTCAAGTGTTTCTGATTCTGGGGTATGTAAAATACGCAGCGGAAGGAGTCTCAGAGATACAGTAGACAAGTAATTTCACACAATTCAAATGCCAGGTGAATGTTCTCGGCCTGCAGCCAGATTGAACAATTCTGACATTTCCATCACTGGTTCAGTGATTTTAGGGCATATATCTCTCAACTGCTCCCAACTGAGAGACAACTAGTCCGACGGCTCAGCAACGACCCTCGCCAGACTGGGAGCGTCCCCACTTCCAGCGCAGGCGCCGCCCCTCGCGCCGTCCTGGGAGGGGGCGCGAGGCGCAGCTGCCAGCCGCCCGCCCAAGAGCGGGGAGGGGCTCCCGCACGCTCCCACCCAGCCCTGGTCGCCATCTTCCGGCGCGTCCTTTCCCGCGCGGGCTGCAGCCTGGGCTCTCGGCCCACGGCTCGAAAGGGTCTTCTAGCCCGCAGAGCTCGTAGGCGGTGCGCGGCGCGGAGGGGCGGGGCAGGGGGCGGGGCCGGCGCGGCGGCAGCTGTGCGGCGGTGCGGTCCTCCCGCCGCTCTCAGGGCGCGCGCCGCCTCTCGCCCCGCCTGCGCGCGAGCCTGGGCGTGGAGGGAGGGGCCAGGAAGCGGCGAGCGAGCCGGGGAGCGCAGCTGCGGGCGTGGGGGCGACAGGAGCCGGGGAGCCGGCGCCGAGAGCGGCTGCGGCTGGAACGGGCGGCCGAGACAAAGGCGACGGTGAGTGCAGCTCTGGCCCGGGTCACGCGTCAGGCCCCGCACCTCGCCCTCGCCGCCCCTTGGGCGGGGCCCGAAGTCCCGAACCCCCGCCGCCTAGAGCTCCGGGGCCAGTGCGGCCCGGCCCTACCCGCCGCGCGTTGCGGGCTGTGGGCTGTGCCTGCGGCTCCATTTTCAGGTCTGGGCGAGGTCCTCCTGCGGACCCTGCCTTTGATTTTTATTCCATTCCCTCTGGGAAATGGTTACATGCTCTGTTCCAGATTCACGACCGGCGGACGATGAGGAAGCCAGCCGTCCCCCTAATGGAAAATGGAAATGAGGTCCCCCTCCCCCCCACTTTGCAGGTCTGAAAGTCGGGAGGGTGGCGCGAGGGGCGGGCGGAGAGGCCCCGGGTCCTCCAGGTGAGAGTTTTGGAGGGGCGGGGACCTCTGGCTCCGGAGTCCGGACTCCTAACTGGGGCGCCCGGCTTGTTCCGCCCGCGGGTCTCTCCGCGGTTCTTTCTGGGCCCCGGAGAGAAAGCCCTGACCACCTTCTCGGAGGAGCTAGTGCTACTCTTACAGGTTGTTTTTACCTAGAGCTTGCTGGCTACTTGTGATTTTTGGTTACAGGTGTGGTAGGTAGCGGCTCGTTGATGCCGCATTAATAGCTGAAAAGGAGCCCTGTTGGACTGACTTAACGTGCACGTGAAACAACATCGAGATTCCTCTTCAACTGTTACTATTTTAAGAGAGAAGCTTTTGTAGGGGAATTTGGTGCTGATGTACAGTTTATACCATTAACGTTTTGTTAAAGGGCCTAACATAGTAGATGCTCAATAAAATAATAAATGAATGAATCTTGACACATCAGACAAAACTGATTTAACATCGTGTAAAATTTAGGCACGTACCTTGAGTCAAAATAAGGAAAAAATGGGCAAACACATAGTTTTTGTTTATATGCTTGCTTTTTTTACCCAACATAAACATACTGTTGAATAATTATTATTTTCAATATTAGGAAAATAGAAGATAGGTTTGAAGTGTGGGATTTTTCATTTTGAGGAAAGTTGGTAGACATTTTGATGTTTCTTAAAAATAAGCCTTATTGATCTAGTTTTCTTTAGAAAAAATGGAGAAGATAAAGATTTGCTTATGTTGCATTTCGTTCTTTTGAGACCCAGCTTTCTATTTCATTATGAATAAAGAAGTTTATATGCTTTTGAAGGACTGTGACATGGTCTTGAGTTGCTTTTTTGAGCAAGGGAGACCTTTAAGGAAAAAAAGAAAACTAATGTTGCACTAAGGTAATTACATCTCACCATTTGCTGGACAGATACTCATTAAGCACCTATTACGTGCTGGCACCTGTGTTGGGTGCTGATTTCCTAGGGGCACACAAAACCTCCAATTACTCGTTTCTTAACCTGAACTTGAAGTTCTTTCCTCATAATCGATGTTGCAAAGGGGGACTGTCTTACACCCCTAGTGCCTACTTATAGTTGGGAAAAATGGCAGATGAACTGCAGGAAGTGTAGGTCCATACCAGTCTATTTAAAGGTTAATAAGTAACTTTATAGGGCTAAGATTATTGTGTTACATTTTCATATTGCCAGTTTAGTAAATTTTATATTTTTAAATGAAAGGAAGAAGAGGTTTAATAAACTAGTATTTTATTCTCTCCCTCTCCCATATTAGATGTTATGGTACAGTGTATTTATTGAAAAGTAATGTACTTCTGATTCTGTTTTCTGTAAATAATCTTTGCTATATAACATTTTCTGTTTTTAAATATCTCCAAGGACAAATAGTGGATTCCTTTTCTGTAAGAAATATTTTTAAATAAAGCACCTTTTCAGAAATTTTATTTTGACCTTTTCACCATGTAACAAATATAGTATTGACTTGATAGTACTGAAAAATGAAGGACTATTAGTAATAATTTGTGGTTCCATATCTGAACTTTCCCTCTAGCTGTGATAAAACTGCTTACTAAAAAGAGAATATGTTGCATTTATTAATTCTGAACCTAAAGTTCTGTTTATTTTTATCTTATTTACATATGATAAAAAAGTATTTTATTTAGCTTCCTCAGAGGTCCAAATTAATGTGCTCTAAAGTCAGTCTTGATCACTGCAAAATAACGTAGATTAATAATTGTTTTTACAGATAGCTTTTGAATTTAGGGGATCCCTTTTGACTTGTTGACACCTTATACATTGTGGACGATAATGTGTACATTCAAATAGAACTTACAAGTTTTTAGACTTACTGGCTAATAGTTCTTTATGGTTGTTCCTGCGAATAATAAGGAAAATAAGTCCTTAAATTTTAGTAGAGAATTGTGATAGTTTTTCTTTTAAGTGTGTATTTCTTGTAGGAAGAGTTACTTGACAGTGTACTCCTGATAGTCTGGTGTTGGTGAGAAAGCTAATAGGAGGTGATACTAGTGATGAGAATAAGGTGAGCAAGCTGTGATAAGTCGAATAAGAAATGATTAGCGTGCTTTATTTGGGTAAGAACTTTATCAGAGTTCTTGACAGTCGATAGCATCGAGACATGTTAAAATAATTTCCCCGGGAAATTAGTACCCATAATGATTATCTTTTTTACCTTAAGAAAAAAATTACGTGTTTTCAAGTTTATTCCAAGGTAGGAATAATAATGTTTCCTACTGTTCTGAGGCTAAATCAATTCGAGGGTCGTTCCATTTTATAATTGTTGGAATGTTTGAAATGTGTTGATGCTTTCTTCATCAGGGTATGCGTGTGTGTTGTGGGCGGGGGTGCCTTTGTTGTTGTTGTAAGACCTTGAGAATGGTTTAGAAAATGTGTCCTTTATCAGGTGTAATTTAAAAAAATGGATTAAGAATGTTACTGATTTGGAATATTGTAGCTCTGCCCATATTGTCTGTAGAGATTGTGAGAGGCTATCAATTAATGTTTGTAAAATGCTTTAAATTAATTTCTTACATTTTTTTCTGTAGGATAAGTTGCTGTTATGTTTTTATGTCTCAGTTCTCTCATGAAAGTATTTAGGTTTCTCATATCCTTTAGAATGAGTCTGGGATATTTTGGATAAGATTCATAAGGTTATTTTCAAAATTGCAAATGAATGTTGGTTTTCATCTGTTACAATGTTGTTAATCTCAGTTCCCATAAAAGTAATATTTGAACATTTTATTGAATGTTAAATGTTAGTAACGCTTTAGATCTGTCTCAGAGAGAGAATGTTATGGGTTCCCTGTGCATTCTTGAGAGGAACTGAAAGAAATACATGCTTATTCTTAGTACTTAATAGTTAGGTGAGGGCATTTATTCTGATTTTGTTCACAGTAGCTGGAAAAACTTGGAATTTAGCTTATTAATAATTAACTTTATACATTCTGCTACCTCAGTTCAAAGCGTAAGCATACCTGAGCCTTTCTGTAACACTAACAAATAACAAACAGAGCAAGACTTAGCTGAAACTGCTCTGGGACCCCATCCAAAGGGAGTTTCTGAACTGAAAGCCAAAAAACTTGGTAATGAGTTATCTTTATTATGACACCATAAAATACC